ATTTTCTTTAGCAACAAAAGTGCTGCTTTAAATTTAATGATACTCGAACATTTGTATGGGCGGAAAGCGTATTAGTCTAATGGAAGCACAATGTTTGTTTAACAATTTTCACTCGGCAAATGATGAGTTACGAAGAGAAAGCAGTAGTGGCTGTGGTCACGCGAATGAAAACCTGATTTGTTTTTGTTAACTCGATGATGCGAAACTTATTGAGATCTTGCTTTCAAGTTCATTGTACTTTGCAATGAGTTGTAAGGGAAGCAAGCGAATAATTTTAAGGAAATGCAATGTAATTTTCTGCAAAATACAACACAAAGTTTTTAAAATATTGCATACATATATAAAAAACTGGGTGCGTTTTGTTCTATGCGCGGCAGAAGTGAAAATGCATAGAAACAATTTTAGAGTGGAAGAAGTTCGCAATACACTACACTCCGTGTCCTAATTATAAGCGCAGCACAAAATAAAACGTTCTTATATACTTAATGTTAGTTATTTTTTTTTTATAAAATATAGTTTATTCGATAACCAAAATCGTGTAAAACCATTTTTAAACTTTGTTTCAAATTAAAAAAAATAAAAAATAAATCAACTTTTGTAAAAATTTCGAGCTTGTAAATTTGATTTCTTTGATAGATTTTTAGTATGCAGTTTTGCAGTCCATTAAATTTTAGTAAATAAAGTGCGAGTTTGAAGTAGCTTTTGGCTATGGTGTTCATTTTCTTCCATGTAAAAAATCGTTGCACATACTTTGTATGGAAGAACATACACAACACCGTCAGCGTAAAAATTATATTAAAATAAAATGAACTACAAAATTGCATACTCAAAATCTTTCTATTTAAAAAGCTTGAAAGCTTGTTTCTTCCATCGATTTTCCAACTCTCTTACTGCAATTTTTCTCCACTAAGTACAGTGAGCAGAAGCAAGCTCCGTTAAGAAGAAATTAGTACGTAAAAAGAAAAATTTCAATTCTTGAACTGGCGGTAGATGCTGGACGACATCGAGGAGTTACTTAGAGAATTCACAGCCTGGTGGCTTACCAAATGAGAAAAGTTCAATTCGAATTTAAAAAAAAAAAAAACTAATCACATACGATTTCTTTAGCCAAGACAAGGCATTAAATATTCTTTATTAAGTCCATATTTACAATATCGTTCCTTACGCATTTATGTACATTAGACCGAACCAAAAACAAAGTTTGTTGTATACCCCTGAGTCTAAAGTATTTTTTCAAGACAATTTTATACTTTTATCATATTTTCTGCACAGTGTTGGCCCATATCGATTGATTTTTTAATCAATTAATTAATTTCATTAAATTGAATCGGATTACAGGCACCTAATGCTTGATTTAATTAAGTCTGATTAAACAGCTAATCGTAACCGTGATTAAATAAACTTATTTTTAATCATTAATCCTTAATTTGATTAAGTAGGTTTGGTGATTAATTAAATTATGCTGGAAGCAATATGGTGTGCATTTTCGTTGTGATCTTTTATTTATTACTAATAATAATTATTATTATTTTTTTAATTATTACTTATTATGTGTTTTTATAAGCGTCAAACACAAATGAATAGCTTTAACTGGTGTTTAATTTCAAAGTGGGACAAACTGAACTGTTGTTTAATCGGATCAACGATTAATGATTAAAATTATTTAATCGTAATCACAACCGACGATTAATGATTAAATTTTTTTAATTGTTAATCGTACAGATTATTACGACTAATTAATTTTAATCGTCAATCGCGATTAAAAATTTAATCGTTAATCAGATTAGCATTCTGCCAACACTGCTTTCGTATTTACAGTCGGGCCTTTATGTGCGATATATCGATGTTCTTTTTTAAAACAAACACATTTTTTTTCGTTCCAAAGTTCATTGACTGCAAAAAGGCGACCCCTAGGTTCGGCCAAAAAGTTAAAAAAAATTTCGAAACTACCTTGCAAAAATACGAGTATTTTTTTTGTTTTCTTATAACGTGGTACGGTCTAATGTACATATCTTGCTTCAACAGCAAATCTTTTGTTACCAGATAAAGCTCAAATGGGCTTAAATAAGCATAAGTGTGTACATACATAGATACAAACATGTATTCAATTATGCATAAGTGAAAGATTACTGCATTATGAATTATGCAGATACTGCATTTTTGCTCAATACTCGTTATAAATTGTGAGTCTATATAAGTACACATGTACATATCTCTGTATGAAGGTGTGAGCGTTCAATCAACAACTAAAACGCACAATTAGCATTTATATTTTAGCGCGTGCAAGACTATGTACATTAGGGTGTTCCTCAAAAAAAAAATCAAACGAATGATTTTTTTCGGTCTCACACCTTTAATCGGTAATACCACGGTCACAGATATCAACAAAAACCAGATGCCTCTACTCAAAAAATTTAAAAAATTTTACCAATTTGCTTTTGTTTTGCGTGTTAAATTATGGGAACACTTTATTCACACGGAATTAGCGATAGGACTGACATTTTTTTCCATTTAATACCCAAAATCGATACTACTAAAGTCGAGGATATCACATATAAATTTTGGTCCCAACTGAAGTCGTTTAAGACGTCCTCATAGGGTAATCCGACTTTAATCAGGATCAAAATATCTTCGACTATAGAAGCATCGACGTAGAGGTTGAGGCTTAGGAAATCCTATGTCCTACGTTTAAGGACCACCCTAATGCACATACATATATAGTAGGGCTGTGCGATTAATTGATTACTCGAGCAAGTTGGTTAATCAATTATTCGGTTAATCAATTACTCGAGTAATCAAGATTTTGATTACTCAAAACGATGATTAATCGAGTTACTTGAAATATGATTACTCAAAAAAAATAATTTTGCTCGTTAAAAGAGTTTGCTTTGGAAAATGCTTATTTTCTTTTTTACATTCTGTATATGAAAAAAATTTTTTGTTTTAGTTTTTGAAAACAGAAACGTTGTTTTCAAAGTATCAACGAAATTTAACTACTTTATACATATGCAAAGAGTTGAAATGTTGATTACTCATTTTACTCGAAATGTTGATTAATCATAAAGCAACTTACTCAAATATTTTTGTTTTTGGTTAATCAAAAATCTTGATTACTCGAGTAACTGAATCATAATTTCCAATTAATCGAATAATTGAGTTATTTACTTTATGATTAATTAAAATTTTAAGTAATCAATTAATCGCACAGCCCTAATATATAGATATGTAGATACAAGTCTATACATGTATGTAAACATATATGAATGCATATAAACATGCACATATGCGGCTAGTATGTATTATTGCCATTAGTGGCTAAATTACGCGGAAAATGAAAAACTTTATCAGAAACTGACCTTGCAAACGAATATGAGCGCACGCGAGCAAAAAAAAAGAACTTTACATGCATTCATACTAAGCATATGCAAATTCATCACCTTACATACATAAATACATACGTATATATGTACATACGAACATGCATATAAGGCACACATGCGCTAATATGCCATGGGAACAAGCGCGTTGAGATATTTCACAGACAAACATATGTATATGCCCTACAAGACAGCTGAGTATCATATGAGTACTCATATTATCATTATCCCTAATCACAAAAGTGCTTATCAAAGTCCTCATTTTCGTTCAGGCCATGGGAAAAAATTGAGTACTTTCCCCTCAATGTTGTCATCAGAAAGTCCTCAGTACTAATAGGCAAACTACTCATTTATGCCGTACTACAAAAACAAAAGTGTAAATGTGTGAGAATTTTTGCCTAAAGTGCTCAGCAATGTCTTGTAGGGTGTAAATGTACATACATACCCACTGCAATTAGTAGCAATGTATGCGTAAGTGCTATATACCCTGCAGCGGAAAGCACTAGTACAGAACTAGTGAATTCACCAGTTTTCGGGAGTCGAATACCGATACCTCGCAAATCTACCACACATGCTTTCTACTGTCGCATTTGACAATCCTAGGAGGTGACAATTAATTAAGAGAGCGTTTGTGTTCAAATGCAAAAGTTGTGTTACAAAGTTTGAGAAAAAATGTTTGTTTTAAAACAGTGTTGTAGATGACTATCTAAGGAAAAAATGACCATAATTGAGAAAAATTACAAATAAATTATCGTTCAGAATTTTCACCATGAAAATGGAAAATTTTCGGAAAACGCATGGTACCATCGTATAGCCCGTACAAAAATCTATATAAATCATAGTTTTCGAATTATTTTTCTCATTTTCTGCCTGCTTATATATAAACAGATTGAAAAGAAACAAAAAAATAAAATAAAAAGTAGTAGTTATGTATTGCTTTAATTTGGTACTTTTCAATTACATTAAAATCACAAATAACAAGATCCTTTATGTAATAAGGGAGCATTATCATATTAAAACGACCAATAACATTTAAAAAAAGGTGCAATATGTAATCAATATAGCTCGATTTCTTACTACCTGGGGCATAATCTGCTATTGGAACTAGTAATGTAACTAGTACGAAAGCGACAATTGTCAACGACCCCGCTGCAGGGTATGTACATATATATATTACTTCTGCGAACCTGCACTGCATGTAATCATTAGGGGTATTCTCTGAGTCTTGCAAAGCCCTTGCACAGTGCACCGATTGCACAGTAAAAAGCGGTATTCGTATGGGACAGCTTTGTAAGCCATGCACTGTGTAGAGGCTTTGCAAGACTCAAAGAATACCCCTATTATTTAATAATCATAAAACCACCAACCACGAACAAAAAAAACAACAAAAATCAATCGCTTTGCTCATAAATATGCATTTATGGCGACTAAGCGAAGTAAAAAGAAGTAAAATTATGGCGAACAGCAAAACTCGATGGCAGCAAAAAAAACGCATAGCGTCGACGAAAGTATCAAAAGTGACGATATGGATTATAGCGTTTTTGGATTTTGATATGTTCAAGGTTATAATAAAGGTCTGCAGTTCGCTTGGAACTGATAAAAAGTCCATATGAACTACTTACCATGTGCCAAAAAGTGCATAATTATAAGATATTGAAATTCTACTTCAAGAAAAGAGGAAGCGAAACGCAGGCAGCTAAACAAATCTGCAAGGTGCATGGCGAAACCCAACTATACTTCTCTCGATCTCGTTTTGGCAATTTATTTGTTAAATATGCACCTCGCATCGATGGACCAATCAGAGAAACTGACAGGATTGTAAAACCAGTCAAGGATGTGAACATATGTTCCGATAGTCAGGCGGCCATATTAGTTTCAGACCGTGAAGATATTGCAGGAAACTGCAGAGCCGATGAATTGGAAAGACAGGACACTTTTGAGAAGTTTTATTGCATAAAATCAATGGTAAGTCGTAGCTACCTCAAACTTGCACTTTGTTATACTGAAATTGAATGGGCTAAAAAATTGCATACTCAACTTTTTTCTAGAGAGCGTAAATAAAAAGTGCAGTAATTGAATGAAATTTAGCATACTTTTTCTTAATTCTGCACAAGGTTTGAAACTCTGATTTTGGGGGGTTTTGTTGCAGAATTAACAATATATTTATAAAAAATTAGCGAAAAATTAAATATTTGAAAAATAATTGCCCGTATTGTAAAAAATTCGCTTACATACATGTACGAAAATTAGCAACACCGTTAACAAAAAAAAAAAATCTCGAAAATCAATGCGAATTTTTAGCCGCCTGAAATATGAATAATATTTTACACAAAATTGAATGACCTATAAAACTGCAGTATAAATTTTGATGCAATAGTTTGAAATTTTTACGACCTTTTTTTTGAATTTTGCGAATTTTTATGAAACTGGTACAAGGTTAGAAACATTGAGTTACATGGTTTTCGTTGTAGTATAAATTACATTTTTGTAAAAAAAAAATAAGCACAGAAAAAATAAATCATCAGAATTTATAAAAAGTAGTATATCTAATTATGTGACCACCACTGTATGTATTACAAATCATATTCAAAAAAACAAAAGCTGAAGCTTTCACATCAATAATTTTAAATACCTTTTCCTTGAAATGCTTTTCTCGCACACTAGCCCTTAAGCTACAAGTTTTGAGGTAAGGCAATGATTAACTCGCCGCCCAAATTTAAAGGCAACAATTGTTTGCCAATATCTACCAGACATTTCGGTGAAATAATCTGTTATTACTTGATAAAATTTTCGTACCTACATGGAAACAATAAATTTCTACGTAGAATAATTGTTATGGCATAAACAAATGTACATATGTATGTATAGTTCACAACGAAAAGATTCCGTGTAAATGTTAATGTTGCGTACATAAATATCTTCAATGAGCTTAAGTAAGAGGCAGTGATTTCTATTGAAAATAAGCAGTACTTCGAATAAAGGCATGCAGCCGACGCATGAAAAATTTACAATACAAATTTCGGGCATTCTCACTTCCTGGAGAAACCGCACACGCAGACACATATCGATACCTTTGTAGCAGACGAATTCAATAAATATTTATGAATGGATGAAATAAATAAATAAATTTATATTATAAGTAAGATCAGGTAGAAAAAGAATGGGCATATTACGGTACAAATATAGAGTATGAGCGGAATGAAGAAAATATATGTTATTCATGTACCGTAAATAAAATTTGCTAAACATAACTGCACTTATCTAGTGTTTCTTAAAATCTAAGAATTTTTTCTTAAATTTTTTTGCAACATTCATATAAGGGAAAATTCTGCTAATTCTTTAACTTGTCCTGAAACTAGTGCAAAATATGACTCGTGGAAATAAGATACTGATCGCTTATGGCGGTGGCCATGACATGTTTGGAACAACTTTAAATTAAAAAAAAATATGAACCCACCCTGCAAACCAAAGCACCCGAAATTTTAACGAAATCTTTAGGAGCATATCATTTTTGTAACGATTTTTTTACGAATCTTCAAAGAAAACAATATGAAGTAGTTGATATGAACTCGTAAAGAAAAAGAAAATTCTGAAAAAAATGCCGCAAGAAATTCCTCACATAGCAACATTGTTTTCATTTCTTTACCGATTTTCTGCCGAAAGTTCGTAAAAGAATCGAAGTGTACACAGTATATTTAATTTTTAGAAAATTCGGAAAAAAACGCATGAGATCTTTACGAGATCTTTACTTACTCTATATAAGCACAATATACAAATGTATAAAAGAAACACTGTCAATGACAAAGAAATACAAATTCTAATCTTTTTCAGTGAACCAATCGGTTGAATTTGCTTCGAAAAAAGAGTTAACTTTTTGTGAAAGAGTAAAAAAAAAAATAATAATCAAATTTAACTGCCACTACGCTCAAGTAGTTAAAAAGTATAAACAAACAGAAAAAAGGCAAAAAGCAAAGAGTACACATTTTAATAAATGATCGCAACAGCTGATAAATAATAGACGACTCAAACAGTGACGCTGCAAAAAAAAAAAAAATAAGTGTAAAAGCACTCAAGAAATATTTCAAAAATCGCACAAACGTGACTT